GTAGCCAGTCAGTTGTCGACACGGGACGAGAAGACAAAGTGCATGAGTAGAAATGCAATTGCTGCTCGAGAAAATCGCGATAAAAAGAAAAAGGAGGCGATTAGTATGAAGAATCGAGTGAAATTTTTGGAGGAGGAAAATGCCCTCCTCAAGAAAAAGTATCATGAGGTGAAAGAGGCCTATCATGCGGATCATGAGCGGCTGAAGTACTACGACGCACTGATGAGCAACATCACCAGCATCGGCTCAGTGGTGCCCATCATCGAGCACCTTAAAAATCTGCCCGAGCGGACTACTGCCAAGATTAATGAGCAAATCAAAGAAAAGTTTAGCATTGATCAGAACTTGGCAATCTGCTGTGTGATTGGGGAGAACAAAGAAATGACTCTTCGCTTCTGTGAGACCTGCTCGGCCGGATCGTCATCGACAAAGAAGAAGAAAGCAGTAGACACTTAGTTATCCAATTATTCCTAGTAGAACACTACTAAATTGAATTATTCAAATGAACATTTACCCTAATCACCTACTCGTACCTGCATGCTCATGTCCAGGTACAGGTCACAGGAAACAATGCTGGCTTTTTATCCCCATTTATTTGCAGACTGACCGGGCGGCGTCTACGCCTCATTGGATAACGTCTATTTGTCTTGTATTTTCGCACGTTTTTGATTGTGTTTATTTTTGCCCAACTATGTATCAATTATTTCATTGTCAATAACACTTTACTGTTATTATTGTTACCTATTGTTATTTCACCTGCATCATTGATTTGGTGTCTGTCGAGTGAGATACAATATCGGTATTTAAATAAAGATTCTTTCTACTTTACAAACACATGGGCGTTGGTGATGCTTCAGTTGTGTAAAAATACTTACAGTTAAAAATGAGTTTACTTTTTCAAACACTTTTCGGTCTGTTTGCCCTCTTGTCTTTGGTCCATCAACTAGACGGGCACAACTTTGGGCCTAATGATCAAGAGTGGTCAAACATCATTGGTGGGGAGAAAGTGCATCAAGAGCACAGTCTGCCAATGCTTGTGACGATCAACATAAACCTCACCACCAAAGTGGAGCTTCTTGGAAGCGGTGTCATCATCAACAAAAACTGGATTTTGACTGTCGGTCATTTGTTCAACGAATTCGAAGAAGAGTACGTCAGGGTTTATGGTTTGACTTGCCGTCTTGATCATGTTTTCCTCCTAGAGATTTTGCAAACGTCCTAGTAGGCCATGGCTCCCTGGATAGAACAAAGCAGTCGCTGGCAAAGGTTAATCATATTTACTCCTCGTACTTCAACTTGACTACTCGCCTGGGCGATATTGCCTTTCTCCACGTGCCCAACATTGGACAGAATGTCTTTGCCGAAACGTCGTCACTGAGGATGATCATCAAGAATACGACAACGTTGAACAGTAACGCCAAGTTACTCCTTCCTGGGTTCGGTTCAACAAACACTAGCGCCCGGCGTGAGCCATCTACAACTTGCCAGGTTTGTTTTGCTCAAAGTCAGCTGGCTCTAAAACTGCAATAATCCTTAGGTGGCGACTCTGTTGCACGTCACACCTATTGAAGAATGCAGAAAAAAGCTTCTTAGTCATCGAAATCAACACGTGATCATCGACAATTCGAACCTGTGTGCCGCAAGTCACAACCAGACTGCGTGCTACGTAAGTGTTTCAAGAGCCTGCTCTTCCTTTGAGATAATGATTTCCGACTTGTAGGGAGATTCAGGCAGTCCTCTTTTCGAGCTATCCAACAACAACCAAACTGTGCATCTTTTTGGCCTGATATCGTGGGGAGAGAACTCGTGCACGCTGAACTTCCCTAATGTTTTCACCAAACTGTACCACTATCGCACTCTGATTCATAACATAACCGGCTTTGACCATTGGCTGCCTTAGGTTGTAGCATGAGCTATCTATGGCTGTGTTTCATGAATAAAGATTACGTGTAATTTGAGAAAATGAGCTAATTCGAAAATGACGCTAACTTGGTGGACTTTCACTTGTTACACTTTTTTTCTCAACAATTTCAGCTAATGTTTTTCTCCTCAACAGAACCATGAATCGTAGCTACTCGAATCGTAGCCGATCCCTCTTTGTCCGATGGGTTTCGTATGACACGAGGTCTGTTTTGTTGTATCTATTTCCTGCTCTTAATCAGTTCATTTTATCGGTAGACCTTACGAACTGCATAGCCTTTTCTCAAAATACGGAGACGTAAATGATGTGTACATTCCTCGCGACTACTACACCAACAAGCCTCGTGGATTTGCCTACATAGAATATCCTTTTCACCCTTTTCATTTCAATCTAACTTGATCATTTGTGGTTATTTTTCAGCCATATTTTTTACTTGATTTTTCCTTAACTTAACTCCTTTTCCCCCTTTAATACATTTGAGAATATTCGCGATGCCCAAGCTGCTGTCCGCGATTCAGGAACCATCAAACTTAATGGGCGCTATCTGGACATTGAGTTCGCTCAAGGCAATCGTAAAAGTAATCACAATTTTAATTGTAATCATTAGAACATTAATTGTCATTTTCTTTAACTTCAGCTCCTTTTGAAATGAAAGACCGCTTTGTGAGTGACCGAAATGACGACGATTACAATTATCGCCGTGAAAGTCGCCGTCGCTCCAGTTCCAGCTTGGATCGTCGCTCTAATCGTCGAAATGAATGGTGAGCAAATGAGTTAGTTTGTAAACACAAGATAAGTTTATCAATTCATTTCCAGGAACCGCAGCCGTTCCCGCTCACGATCGCATTCGCGAAACCGAGACAAACGCCAGCGATCTATCTCTCCCAAGTACTCCAAGAGCACCAGCGATTTTCGTGAAAACCGCAAATATGATTCGGACAAACACAAGCGCTACCGAGTGAATGGCCCCATGGGCGGTTTAGAGCTTGGCCACTTTTACTAAAACTATTTTTGGATTATAATTTGTTTGGCAAACTAACCTATTTTAACACTTACTACTAATTTATGTTGAAGCAAATGTAAATTAAAGGGAGTTTTCTCCTTTATTGATTTGAATTCTACAAATTAATTAAAAATTGCTATGGGTGTGGCGCCAGCCACAGCTGTCCTGAACTCACATTCCGCAACGTTGACCAACGCACATTTACACTCACTGCTTGTCACTCACACACAGTTCACATCACAGTTCACACTGTGTCACCCTTCACATAGCCGTACTTAAGACCTACCGTAAGTACACACACCGCAACAGTCTGTCTTTACACTTACCAGACTCCGTCACTCTGTACGCCATTTCATCCACCCTTCTCTTTTTCACTAGTGTCTCCCATCATCCTCACAATAAACCTCACAAAAAAAATTTAAATTCCACTTGGTACATTGTTTATGACCAGCAGCTGCAGCAAGCGGCGCTCAAAAAATTGTTGTCTATTTCAGTCGACGCATCTGTTGTACCGTTTTTATTTCTTTTGGACGCTTTCTGTATTTGTGTCATCAAAAATCTGAAAAAATATCTCCATGGAAGATCAACAGCACCAGGATGAATTCAAAGTCCCAGAAGAGAAGTTTGACGAAGAGCTCAAACTGCTTGAAAAGTACAATAATGAACAGCAAATCAGCAGCAGTTTGGCTCGCATGTCACTTTTTCGAAATTTTGATCCACTTATGAAGACAGAATCAAAATCACCTGCTGGCCTTGTAAACTCGCCTGCTTCAAATCATGATTTTCCAGCACTGCAAAACGGAGGGGATATAGGTGATACTACTACGACGTTGATTCACATTAACACGCCCTCGTCAAAAATGCAGCATCACCACAAAGTGGAAAACGCCACCGGTGCTGAGGAAGGCGAACAATCCTCCAACATAAATGGCCATCATTGTATCATGGATAATACAATAATCGAAGATCATCACCTCAAACAAGGGACTGACCATCTTGACACTAAATTGCTAAATGAATTGGCAATTATCAACGAACAAGTCATTGACTTGGCAGAAGCTCAACTTCAAGTAGTGCACCAGCAGCTCGAGAACAAACAGAAAGAGGTGGAGAGGTTGAGTGCTGAAAAGGACAGTCTTATTGAAGAACTAAACAAAGTCGTGAAAAATTACTTTGACACTCATAGCCGGTACGAAAATATGCAAACAATTGTCAAGCAAATGGAAGCTCGAGACGCGGTTAACAAAGAGCGGATTGCCGAGCTGACTGAAAAACTCGGAGAAAAGAACCAAGAATGTCAAAAATGGAAGCACGTTGCGGACACTCAAAAGTATGTTTTTTAATATTATTTTCACATAAAAAACTAATTAAAATTTTTACATTTCCTTAGCGCCAACTTGCAAACGCAAAATGCGGCTGCTAAAGAGACTGTATCCCTCAAGGCTCAAGTTAAAGTACTCGAGATGAAGATGAACAGCCTCACTTCTCAGATCAGTCAGAAGAATAAGGAGAATGATGAACTGTCTCATATTGTCGAAGAGCTCATCGGCAAAGGAAACTAAAGAGTTTTTCGCAAACACAAACGCCTTTTATATGCCTTCTATATTATAATTTTTAATAACTTGCGATGAGCTGTTTTTATTGTTTTCTATGTTAGCTCCACGCCTTGTACCATAACGCGATTGTTTATCCCAAACCATCTGGATGCACTCGTTGTTCAGCTTATCTCATCCACACTCACGTACCTTCTTAAACCAGGAATCTTCAACCACAACCCATTGCAATTGTGATATCACTTGTGTATACATTTCCTAATTTCCTTATTACCTTGCCATTAACCACCTCCTTTTAAACGCACTTTTAAGTATTAAATTATTTTAATTGAATTCTAATAACTAAACTTGTAACTAATCGTAAATAAATATACACAGTTTCACTTGGTCAGTGCTTGCATTTTGTTTTTATTCTTACCAAAAAAATGATGAGTGCCTTACTGCACGTCCACTATGATCGTCCCGCGCTTAAAAAATTATTTTTGTTTTGAAAATCCGAAACAGAAAATTTTTAAATGTAAGAATGGCCAACTCAAAACCAAGCCGAGTTGCAATTGAAACCAGTTTGGGTACGTTTGAAGTTGAGCTGTACTGGAACGAGGCTCCTAAAACGTGCAAAAACTTTGCCGAACTATCCCGCCGTGGATACTACAACCGCACAATTTTTCATCGGATAATTCCCGATTTTATGATTCAAGGTAAGTTATTTATATTTCTAAAATAGTTTTCAAGTTCTAACTGCATTATTTTACTGTGTAGGCGGCGATCCAACAGGCACGGGACGAGGAGGTCAGAGTATATATGGACTATGCTTTGAAGACGAACTTTGCAGAGATTTAAAGCACACAGGCGCTGGAATATTGTCAATGGCAAATGCAGGAGCAAATACCAATGGTAGCCAGTTTTTCATCACCCTCGGGCCTGCCGCCCACTTGGATATGAAGCACACGATATTTGGACGTGTGTATCGCGGAATGGACGTTGTTCAGAAGCTAGGACGAGTTCCGACCGACTCGAATGATAGACCGATACAAGAAGTGCTTTTAAAAACGGCAAAGATAATAGAGGAACAGGATTGATTGTTTCTATACTGTTTTCTTCATTATCAGCCTGACATGTACATCTAAGCATCATTTTATTTTTTACTTTACTCGAAGAGTGCTACTATCATCGACATGTGCACGAGATAAGCTATAAAGTACTGCTTTATTTTTTCTTGCTCTCCGATGATTCACTTTTTGTTCTGATCATCATCAGATCTACATCAGTCAATGTCAAAAAGTGAGTCTGGCAGGCATGACAAGTGCCAGTGTGAAAGCTCTATGATCAGTTGTTGTTTTTAGTGATACTGACTCTCGGGTTAGTTTCTGAAGCAAGTACGGCTAATTGGACAGACCCGTTTTCAAGTCTGTTTTTAGCCGCACTGACTTTGGTAAAAAGTAACCCCCGTGCATTTGAAGTGCAGACTTTAGAAACACTCGAACGGATAAGATAGCGGTGGTCTAATTTGTCTGTGTGTGTCTGCTTTTTGTGTCCCTATCATCGCCACAATAACCAATTGTACTGAATGAGTGCCTGCACTGAGATGGGCCGCATTTGCGTGGCTTCCACTTGCCACAGCACGCCGCACTAGTGTGCACCGAATCGGCGACACGGCTTCTTGACACGCCGAATCCTTGTTCCTCCTCACCGCCGCCCCAACCGCATCATGTCCTTCCAGTATGAAGTCAACTCTGCATCATCCGCCAGCTGCACCACTTCGTACTACTCCGAATACTTGACCTCTCGCCAGGTAGAGCCATCCAGCCAGTGTCTACAAATGTGAACGCCGTCTGCCACTCTGATCATTATCGCTTGAAGCAACGCTAGCTAATCGATAGCGCACGGCGTCGAAGCATCCATTGTTCACAGTCACTCATTACCAATCTTGTTCATACTCTTTTCGCCAATTTGTTCATCTCGTCGAGCTGCTGAATAATTGAATACTTGATGATGCAGATGATGTTGGTGATGCTAGTGATTTGCGCCATTTCAGAACGAGAAAACATCACATTTTGAGCTACAGAAAAGCAATACTGGCCACATGTTGTTGAAGTTGGCGAGTTGTCCTTGATAGTGAGAGTCCGTGATGAACCCACCATAGTCAGGGCTACTTATCTAGTCATGACTACTGCGAATAGTGTGGTGGCCATCTCTGCCTTCCCGCAATCGCGATTACCAGTTGTTCGAACAGTGATGATAAGAGCAGTGAAAGTCACTGAATGGCAGTGAAGAAAGAGCAGACAGAGAGGTCTCTGACGACTGACTTGGTAGAGTGCCAGTCTAACTCAGTGCTTACTAGTTCTTCTCAGCCTCATTTGACCACTCGTTCACTGATTAATATCACCAATCATCATCACCAGCATCATCAGCTGCGGTAGTGACCATCGGTGCACGTGCCACTTGTTGACTATCATCAACACGATTTTTCACTGTTTTGAGAGCAGCCACTCTTTCATTAGTGCACCAATGCGCATCCTGAAGTGCCTGTAATTAGCAACTAGCCAATATGATGGTAGAGCCAATTTGATGATTGCCGATTAGCTCCTGTTTGCCTGCCAATTAGCGGTGATCTAGCCTATCAATTAGCCAGCAATTAGTGCACACAGCAAGCTGCACTGACAGATGCAATGGGGCTTCTAAATAATTGCCACCCTCTATTTCCTTTTCTTTTAATAGCATCATCATTCTTTATTGTTTACTAGATTTCCAAGTGGTGTGGATTCAACTCTTGGCAATGGCTTTTTTTCATAGTCGCATGCAGCCAGTTGGCATGCATCACCGTTCTGACCATCGTAGACCTAAAGTCACTGGTCGATCTCAACGCTCTCATGACCTCGTCCTTCGTCATCAACATAACCATTCTTATTATCTGCGGTACTCATCTTTCCCCTTTCCCTTTCATTATGCTAATGATATCCTTCTTCTTACTTCTAGTTATTTCGTTAACCTTTCTCGTATACGGAATTTTCTGGTGCAAGCAAAATGAAATTTGCCTGTTTTTGCTTGCTATGTCACTGTGTTCATTCTACATATCTATTGAATTTGCCTTTACCGTACCGTATGGCTCTACCATAAAACTAGTAAGTTGGCTTACATGGTTTGGCATTGTTTCATTTGTAACTTAACCTGCTTTTGTAGATTCGACTATGTGCTTCATTATCATTGACTTCAATTCTTCTGATCACCTCAAAAATGGTCATTATTTATTCACAAGAGTATTCAATTATTGGAGTGGCGCCCACTCTACTTTCCATGTATAAATCACAAATGTTCTTTTTGGTGCTCCTCAAGTTTGACTTTCTCTGTTCAGTGAGTGCTTTCTAACACTTCTAAACTTCCGCTAACCTCCACTTAAACTAGGTTTCGTTTGCCCTATTCAACATTGGCGTTCCCGACATGAATCCAATGTTGCAGTACCTCGCACTAGGCCTTTTCCTAACAGTATCACTGCTTCACTGGATTTGCGGTCGCTTTGCGGTGAGTCAGCTAAAAACTGTTTCTTTTAGTTCATTGCCACTACCTTCCTGTTCACGTTGTAACTGTTGCATTGCAGGTTATCAAAGAACTCAAAAGCTGCCTCTTTCTATTTGTGAGCATATCAACGCTTTCACTGCTTTGGGTGCCATTACAGGTAAATACAATTGATATGCTTCATTGCTAGCTGTCTGCAGACGCAAACAATCTCCCACACTGCACAATGCCAACTGGATTGCGTCCGTCCCCTGACAGAGAGGCGCGTGTTTGTCATTTCACCCGTCCTTAAGAGAAAGCACTCATTACATCACTGCATTTACATAATGTCAGCACATACTCTGCGACTTCTCTCGCCTGTCGCACTGTGTGCTATCTTGCCTGATCATAGTGAAATATGCCACCTCCTGACGACTAGCGACAAGTTAGCACCTTTGCAGTCAACTGTCAGAGTCCTCGCGACATGAGGAATCTCGTCGACCAGAACCAGACTCTGCAGTTTGAGGTGACAACTGTCACCAATCGAAGAGACGACAGAGAGTGGTGTCACTCGGCGGTGCTCTTCCGAAGACTGCCCAATTGCCAGCTCGTGCGTGTGACTCGTTTGAGGTCGCAGTTGTGCTTCATTTACGCTTTACTGCACTGGGCTTCATCTCGTGATGCAACAGCAAATCAAGATTATCTTGAACAGAGACTGTCTGCCTGTGCCTTCGGTGCCTCCCCGTGGCCGCTGTCCGTCTTTTTGATTCGCTGGAACACTGATTTATTATCGACAAGGTTTGATCTACAGGCAGAGGGAGGACTGAGTGGGCTCAGTCGGCCATAACGATCACTGATCACCATTGCTAACGGTACCTTTTAGTCTACACTCCAAGAGAGAGGGGATGAGATTGATGCGCACTGTCGTCGGGAAGAGAGAAGAGCCATCCGTAATGGGGAGAGACAGAAAGAGCAAGAGAGGATAACAATGACGACATTTGAGTGAGTGGTCCATTACGGCACAGCTATCAGAGATTTGACGGCATTCGCGCAGAGTGGACAGAGAACACACAGGCGACTGGGCAAGTCATGCAAGCTTTGATTGAACGAATCAATTGACTTGCCCTGTCTCCAGTGCCTCCTAATGAGTGGCTATCATTGTGCCAAATGGTCCTGATGTAGCCTGCACCAAGTGGCTGGCGAAGAAGTAGCAGTAAACAAACAAACAGGTCGATTGAAAAAGAGTTGAGTTGACGAGCTTGACCACGACCATTGCCAAGATGGGATGCCTTGCTCGCTTCCAGCCACACTTGACCATCTTCTGCTCAGTCTGCTCAGAGGAACTCTTGCCATTTGGTTTGTTGGATGGTCAAATGACGCCACCAATTAGAGGAGACGAAGAAGAGACGCTTTCACATACCGATTAGTGCATGGTCGATGTTCACCGCTGAAACGGCAGCGACAATTAAAGCAATTTGAGTGTTGAAATCGTTCACGCAAACACTGTCCCTGAGTAAGTGCTTCCACTCGTAATCGACTGACTAACTGTCCAGGACTTACTGAATGCTTCTCGACCGTGAACTACTACTACTTTAGGCTGCTTCTTCCTTTGTACTCTTCTTGCTGTTTTACTCGTGTATCGAATATTCTAGAGTATACTTCAGAGTTTCCATTTTTGTATGGAAAGCACTCGAACTCTGACTTTAACAAGCAAACATTTAAAATCGGCGAGTGCAAGTGTCGCAATGAATGATTCGAATAGTCGGCAGTGAAGCAAGCAAATTTGCAGTGTTCGTGCAATTTCACTTGTAATTTATTATCTCTCTCTCTCTCTCATCCTCTGTAGTGTGTGACATGTCTCACTTGAAATGGGACACTTTGTTGTGTACTTTCAATAATCAGTCGCTTCTTTTTTGCAGTTTGTCTTTCTCGAAACGTGCTTCACTTTGGCCTGCTCCAATCAAACACTGCTGCTGTCCTATGGCTCTCTCGTCTCGTCAATCATCCTCATTGTTGTGCGGATCTGGCTATTTATGCACTTGCTCAAGGTGTACAAAAATTTTGGCTACGGACTTGCTGACTCGGGTAAGCTTGAGAATTTTATTTTCTTGATGAAGCTCACTTTTGATTTGTCCTGGACTNTTATGCACTTGCTCAAAGTGTACAAAAATTTTGGCTACGGACTTGCTGACTCGGGTAAGTTTGAGAATTTTATTTTCTTGATGAAGCTCACTTTTGATTTGTCCTGGACTAAGCCTTCATCGGACTGGCTACCGAGACGACTCGCCTGTTGATGCGCTCACCCAACTACCGACAACGAATGGATCTATAAGCCTGAACAGTTCGGTCACCACTACTTACATCGAGCAAAATTTGAGTTTGCCATTTCCACTAGTCGTCCCCTGTCTCTGTCGTTTCCCACTCGCCAACTCGAGTGCTCAATCGGTTGCTAAAGATGTGTGAGAGAGTGTTTAAAATGACAAAACCTCACCTCCGCACCATCACCTTCATTGCCACCGCTTTTAGTCGACAGTCGCAATAAAAAAAGAAAGTAGTCAAATTAAAAATCGAGCCCCAGTTGTCGGCGACTCTGTTGTCTTGTCTTGTTACCTGTTACCTGCGCTGACTGACCAATTATCTGACTGTTAATTTGTTGCCACAAATATTTACGCGCGGGCGGAGAAGTCTCTTCAGCGAAGAGGCTGTCGCATCACAGTGCCGAAGGAGGATGAGACATCGCGCGTGGTAGTGATTTTAATTAGTCGCCGGCCCATTTGAAATGGCCACACGGCGTCTGCCGTTTTCGCCACTGTACGATGCTGTTGGCGTGCATGAAGCAGTGAAGCGCCGCTGCTGGGACTTCAATGTCAATATATAATTTTTTAATACTGCCAAAGTGAAGAAGAGCCCGCCGATGAGAGTGCGACAGGTAAGACAATATTTAACCTTTCATCATCGACTGTTCCACTGGCGCGAAGAAGGAGAGAGAGAGAGAGAGAGAAAAAGATGGCAGTGTGCTGTGTTCGAGAAAGGCAAAGGGGAAGGGGAACGTGTGCGAGCGAATGTGCGCTGGCAGATGGAGATAATGCTTCCAAGTGAGATGTCGAGTGAAATGGTCATGACACACTAATGGACAGTCCACAGCAGACACCGCCGCCGCCGTCAGAGGCACCGCACGCATCCTCATCCACGTCCACAACATCATCAACATCAGCATCATCATCATCATCTCTTTAATTGTCGTGTTTAGTGTTATTTTTAATTTCACTTACCGCCGTCACAAAGACCAACACCATCGCTGACACTTTCATTCATTCACTCGCTCACTCCTGCCATCGTCCGTTGTGACCACTGGTCAGACCGTTTTAGGTGTTTGCTCGTCATCTTTGCCGATTAATCCGCTCACTTCCGTCGTCTGGTCCTGCTGCACTGCCGACACTGCTGATTGAGTTGTCGGCACAGCACAATGCACCTTCACCAGTCGGTCATCGTGCCAGTTCTGGTTTTTCTCCTGCGGTACGCAATATCTCTACAGTGTCATCTTTTTTCCACAATCACCATCACTTGTTTTCTTATCCTTTATCTTGACAGCGTCTCAGCAGAAGTGCAGTTCAGGCACGTGCCAGTGAAGCATGATCCATTTGAAGATACTCACAAGCCAAAGTGTCCCACCTATAAAATAGATGATGCAGACCTTGAGAAAGCACTGGCGCATGGTCATTCGATAAAGGACAAAATTCGCAGTCTGGAACATGAACTGGACTTGACGCGGAATGTAGTCAACACTACTCGCATCTCCTCCACTGCACGACACGTCATTCCTTCCATCAGCAAAGAGCAAGTTCGTCTGCTGCATCACGAGCAAAGAGCGTTCGAAGAAGCTTCAAAGGTTCTTGCTAAAAAGTGCGTACTGAACAAAAGTGTTTATGATAGCAGAAGTTTTTTTACTAAAAGTAAATACTTTTGTGTAGTTTCAGCCTCAAGCTGGACAACATTCGTGATTTGAGTCACATTCAAGTGCAACACATCCTTCCCCATCAACGTTCAAAGCGTCAGTCCTGCAAACCGCCCATCTTCTGTAACCGCTCTCGATTCCGCACCGCCGACGGCAGCTGCAACAACTTGCGCAACCCACGTTGGGGCAAGTCATTTGAGTGCATCATTCGTTTGCTTGATCCGGCCTATGCTGATGGTATGTCTGCTCGCTAAATGCACGACTGAGCTTTGCAAATTAAATTACCCTTTCTCTCTTTCTCTTCGTTTGCAGGTGTCTCTAAGCCTCGTGTGGCCAAGTCGGGAAACCGCCTTCCCAATGCGCGTGTGCTTTCGGGCACAATTCACCAGCAGGAAGACGTGAATGGCAACTTTACTCACATGTTGATGCAGTACGGGCAATACCTGGACCACGATATATCGCTCTCTCCGGTGACTCAGCTTAGAACGGGTGGCATTTCCTGCTGTCCACGTCCGTCACATCCTGATTGTTTCTCCATTGAAATTGCACCCAACGACCCCATCTTTGGAAGGGAAAACAAGCGATGCTTAAACTTTGTGCGCTCCGTTTCATGTCAGACTTGTAGATTTGGACCTCGATTACAGCTAAACGAACTCACTTCTTTCATTGATGGATCCAACATCTACGGCAACACACAAGATGAAACGCGCAACTTGCGAAGATTTAGCTCTGGTTTGTGAAACTGATCAGTAAGCTTCAGCACCTTTTTTCTAAGCAATTGTTTTGTTTATCTTTGAAGGCCTGCTTCTCTTTGATGAAGACAAAAACGGGAAAATGATTCTTCCACAGTCAAACAGCATTTTCAACGACCAGTAATATGTTTGTAATAAGTTTTTCTTCTACTAACTGACTGTTTCCTTCAACAGGTGTTCAGAGCCAAGCCGTAAATTAATTTGCTTTCGTGCTGGCGACAACTCTCGAGTGAATCAGCATCCTGGTTTGACTGCTCTTCACATTGTTTGGGTATGCTTTTGATTGCTTATTTGTTGAAACTAAACTATTCCCCATTTTGATCATAGCTGCGTCATCATAATCGCATTGCCAGTCTTTTACAAGAACTTAATCCTCACTGGAATGATGAACGCCTTTTCCAAGAAGCTAGGTTAGTTCTCTTGGTTTTACTAACATTTAGCCTTACTTATTTCACATTTTAGGAGAATCATTGGCGCTCAACTGCAACATATCACCTATGCTGAATTTTTGCCTGTAGTGCTAGGCCACAATGCAATGAACTTCTACAAGCTAAACGTCCAGAAAAGTGGATTTTCAAACTACGATCCGAGTGTCAATCCCTCTATTATCAGCGAATTTTCCAGTGCTGCATATCGTTTTGGCCATACAATTGTTAATGGTCGTTTTACCATGATCAGTTCAGATAGCAAGCGAAGTGCCTTTATGCTCAAAGACAACTTTTTCTCGCCTTTTCGACTTCGAGACGGTCAATTGGACCAAATTATGCGTGGTCTGGTCGGTCGAAGTGCTCAGCGATTTGATCCGTTTTGCCATGCTGATCTGCGAAATAACTTGTACAAATCAAAAAGCGAAACAACAGGTTCTGACCTTCCAGCGATGAATATACAGCGAGGCAGAGATCATGGCATTCCTGGCTATGTTCACTACGTCAAACTGTGTTTTGATGACGTAAGTTGGTCATGTTCAAGTTTTAAGCTCTTTTTTTGCTGACAATTTTTATTTTAGGAAATAACAACTTTTGAGCAACTAGATCAGTACATGCCTCGCTCCCAGCGTACTCGCTTCCAAGACCACTATGAGCACGTAGAGGACATTGATCTGTT